AGCGTGGACAGTTGCGGCTTGCGTACGTGGCCTCTGAGGCCAACACTGCTGATGTGTTCACCAAGGCACTCGCGCCTTGTGACCATCAGCGCTTCTGCACCCAGCTGGGTCTTGTGCCTGTCTTGCCTCACTTGCTCTCCTCTTGACTTTACTTGTACTGTCACATATATATACCTGCTCTTGCTTGTCTAGCTTTATATATATATGTGTGTACTACTTCATGTGAACTGGCCTTGTGGCCTTGCTCTTGTGCTCGGACTGTGTGGTGACTTTGTGATCCACCCTGAGCTTTGCTTTGCTTTGCTTGACTGGTCTTGTGACCCCTTGTTCTCCCCCACTTTGCCTATGGGGGTGTGTCAGAACATATATGTAGCTTATGCTGTTGTGTAGGCTACAGTGGGGTATCCCATAGGGGGTACAAGCCAATTAGGGTTTTGCTATTTGTACCCAACTCTTTCATAGTGCATTCATTCTCGTTCTATTTTCCACACTCGTACGCAACCAGAGGCCCCCGCTGACAAAATTAGAAGGAAGAAAGAGGATTGAACTAGCAAGAATGAGGATACAAATAGCAAACCCTAGAAGGGTTGTACTCGCTATAGAGCACCCCACTACAGGCTAGAACATAAGATAATATTCTGACACACCCCCATAGCCAAAGTGGGGTGTAATCAGCAGAGCAGGCAAAGCAGTACAAGCTCAGGGTGGATCACAATGTCACCACACATTCTGAGCACAAGTTCAAGAAGCAATAGTTTAGAGTTCACAATTATGAGCAAAGCTAGCGGTAGTCACAACGGGCAAGCTAGGAGGAGGAGAGAGAGTGAGGGGAGAGGAGATAGGAGGCGACGGCTGAAGCTGCAGACACACGGGCAACAGGAGGCAGACTGGCATAGCGGCTACCGGGCGAAGCCCCCGGAATGCAGGAGTAACAGGCCCCGCGGCTCAAGTAGCGGCAGACGGGCAACGGACCCACGGGCGGCTGGCACAGCTGGCTACGACTGGGCTACCGGACGAAGTCCCCGGACTACAGGTGCTGCTGGCGACACGACGGCAACCTCCGTGCAACTTCCCCATACAGTCCCACCCCTCTGACACACACCCGCTGCTACACCGCTAGCTCCACTCCCACGCACCCCCCTTAAACCCTAAACCCAGTCTCCCACACATCCACCCCCCTCAGCGACAGCTGCAGCAGTGGGAGACGAAGGAGGAGGAGGAGCAAAGGGAGGAATGCACACCGGCACCCCCATACCCGCCACCCCACAGCGGCCCCCGAAGGAGCCGCGACGGGCGACGGGAAAAGGGGGGGGGGGGGGGGGGGGAGGCGGTGTGGAGGAAGGGGCCCACCACGGGCCTGGTAGGGTCGCAGGTAGGGAGACGGGGCCGGGGCCGGGGCCGCAGGTAGGGCGGCGGGACGACGGGGCCGCGGCCAGGTAGGGAGACGGGACGGTGGGGCGACGGGCCGCAGGTAGGGAGGCGGCCCGAGCCGCGCGCGGGCCTGGCGCCGCACATACAGGCCGCGCGCGGGCCTGGCGCAGCCCGTACGGGCCGCGCGCTGCCTGTACGGGCCGCGCGTAGGCCACGACGGGCGACGGGAGGTGACGACCGGGTCCCCGTCGCCCGTCGCGGCGCCTCCCGAGGGCGACGCGCCGGTCGACGGGGCCGAAGCCCGCCGCGCGCCCCGGGGCGCACAGCGGGCAGAGAACCGCCGTGCGCCTCGGGGCGCACGGCGGGCAGAAAACCGCCGCGCGCCTCGGGGCGCACGGCGGGAAGAAAAAATGCCGCACGCCACGGGGCGTGCGGCTCAGAGAGTAGTTGATAGTAGTAGGAGTAGGAGTTGCAGCGGAAGCAACGAGGTGGTAAGTCCACCCACAGGATCGATCCAAGGGGATCGACCTGCTCTGATAGCATGACAAAATTAGAAGGAAGAAAGAGGATTGAACTAGCAAGAATGAGGATACAAATAGCAAACCCTAGAAGGGTTGTACTCGTTATAGAGCACCCCACTACAGGCTAGAACATAAGATAATGTTCTGACACCCGCTGCCCATGTCTCAGAGACCCCATTTGTAATGAGAACGATGCCAATTGATAAGAATAAGAAAGCAAGCTTTCTCAATATTATAATTTTAAACACATTGTGTTTTTTAAAATTGTGTATTGTGAAAGCGAAGCTGCTTGTACTGCACAATTGGCATCGTCGAAGCGCGCTAAACGCCCTTCTCCAACTACAAAAACCGTGGGTTGGAGTTCATTTCCCTCCACCCACGTTTCTCGATTTTCAAACGGCTCACTCAACATTCCCAACCACCCACCCCAGAGTAAACCACCTTGCTGATGCCACTTGGATAGGGTACATCTTAGCTAGTGTTATTCGATTGCACTAGATTGTGTTCAACGTTGATGCGAATGTTGTAATAAGCCATTTGTAATGAGAACGACGCATTTGTAATGAGAACGATGCCAATTGATAAGAATAAGAAAGCAAGCTTTCTCAATTTGTGGATTTAACATAGGCCACTAAGGACAAACGTAAAAAAAGTATTTATTAATTTTCATCATCGTCATCATCACTACCGTACGCTCCAAGCCCTAAGCCGACACCTAAAGATCCATGATCCTTTCTCTCATCCTCATCCCCAGATTTTCTAACATTCTCTTCCGACTTTGTCACCTCTCCCTCTTGGCTACCACGCTTCCCTTGATCACCAGTGCCAGAAACTTCTACACCACTCCGTGCGCCATCCAGATCATTAGAAACAACTTTCGCACAATCAACTTTAGCTCTAGAATCGGCCGCTTTATCTGGAGCCCCCCCGGACTTGGCTTTTGGCTTCGCCTTGAGCTGAACCTTCACGCCCAGACGAGGCATGAGTGGGAGATCCGGCTCCTTTCGTTTCCGAATAGCAGCCACTCTGGAAGAACCAGAAGAGCCGGGAGCATCAGTTGCTTGTGCCGTGGCCAGCTCAGGAGTGGCATGAGTGGAATGGGAATCAACAGTGACCGTTCGGCTCAAGAGCGCGGCCTGGAGGATAGTCCACAATGGGGTGCGACAAAAAGGAGAAAATGTGACATTTCAATCACAGGGAGGCGAAGGCCATATTTGTATGCATGAGAAGACACATGGGAGATGCTATAAGGGGTAAATGAGCAGTGCACTCGATCAGACCATTTTCTAGTTGACTCAATGACAAGGATTGCACAGAGGAAAGACACTCTTGGGGATGAACAGGAGAACACACACTCGGTCATGCAGATGAAAACTGGCACTAAGGGCGTGTCATGCTTGGTGAACTTTCGGTTCATTCTAAGCGGTTCACTACGATATTGTGTTTTCTAAAGCGGTTTGTACTCTTTACCGCTCTGAACCGCTACATACCAGCCTTAACAGTGATTCATGAGCTGTGAGCTCCCTCGCCATGACACGCCCTAAGAGTCTAGTTTTGAGTCTGAAATTTGGCGCCTCAAAACTAGACAAGGATAGCACAGAGGGAAGATATCTTGGGGAAGAACACACACTCGGCCATGCAGATGAAAACTGGCGTTAAGAGTACGAGCGTTTAGGCACACACCTTTTGACGTGCCTCAAAAGTCGGCCATGCGGTTGAAAACTGGCGTTAAGAGTACGAGCGTGAGGCACACACCTGAAACTCTGACAGTGCACGCTTGTCTTCGTCGTCTTTCTCCTTTTCGTCCTCCCTCTTCTTCTGCAAGCCACAAAAAATACAGTTTTCAGGTCAAATTGGTAGCGCAGTTTCATTTGCACAGGTTGCATGTGCTTCTCCTTCTCGTCCTCCCTCTTCTTCTGCAAGCCACATGAAAGGCCATTTTCACATGAAAGGTCATTTTCACATGAAAGGTCATTTTCACATGAAAGGTCATTTTCACATGAAAGGTCATTTTCACATGAAAGGTCATTTTCACATGAAAGGTCATTTTCACATGAAAGGTCATTTTCACATGAAAGGCCATTTTCACATGAAAGGTCATTTTCACATGAAAGGTCATTTTCACATGAAAGGTCATTTTCACATGAAAGGTCATTTTCACATGAAAGGTCATTTTCACATGAAAGGCCATTTTCACATGAAAGGTCATTTTCACATGAAAGGTCATTTTCACATGAAAGGTCATTTTCACATGAAAGGTCATTTTCACATGAAAGGTCATTTTCACATGAAAGGTCATTTTCACATGAAAGGTCATTTTCACAAGTCAATTCAGAAGCGCACTTTCATTTGCACAGGTTGCATGTTCTTCTCCTTCTCAATCTCCCCTGTGCAGGCCTTCTGACAGTCGCTTTATCAACACCCATGTAGCTGCGTCCAGTCGCAGGACGCAGCGTCCTCTGAGCGTCTTTCGCATCTCCCCTGTGCAGGCCTTCTGACAGTCGCTTTATCAACACCCATGTAGCTGTGGAGTTACCTCCAATACGGCTGTGGTGTGGTGTGGTGTTGCACTGACTGAACTGCGCCAACGAACTCACGAATCTGTGAGACAGCAGACAGCACCTATCTGCTGCTCTGCTCTGCGGTTCTGATGGGTTCAATTGAATCATTGACTGGCCTATTCTGCGGTTCTGATGGGTTCAATTGAATCACTGACTGACCTATTCTGCGGTTCTGATGGGTTCAATTGAATCACTGACTGACCTATTCTGCGGTTCTGATGGGTTCAATTGAATCACTGACTGACCTATTCTGCGGTTCTGATGGGTTCAATTGAATCACTGACTGACCTATTCTGCGGTTCTGATGGGTTCAATTGAATCTCTGACTGTCCTACTCTGCGGTTCTCATGGGTTCAATTGAATCTCTGACTGACCTACACTGAGGTTCTGATGGGTTCATATGGATCACTGACTGACCTGCTCCACTGCCTCGAGAAACCTCCGGCTCGTCTTCATCCAATGAAGTTGCGGGGCTTGATGGGGTCACACACCTAGGGGCGGCTTTGCTCTGCTGCTCTGATGTGCGGTTCTGATGGGTTCAATTGAATCACTGACTGACCTGCTCCACTGCTTCGAGAAACTCCAGCTCGTCCTCATCCAATGCCCTGGGTGGGCCTGATGGGGGACACAGCATTACAGAGCACAGCACCGCACACCACCGCGAAGCACAGCACAGAAGAGCACAGCACCACGCCACCGCATCCCATGGCACAGTCAAACACCAAAACGTGGCAAGCATGAGAACAATGGATTTGAACGAGCAAACTGGCACTCGTCCATTTCACGAAAGCAGTCAAGCAAATAGGCATGCTTGATACGCTACACTTAGACATACTAATTGTGCTGGCATACTATCGTTGTCGAGGCCACCCTACTCTCCTTCCGAACCAACTGGCTTACGGTTTTTGAATTTCTCCTTGTGCTCCGCTTCTTTCTTCTCTTTCTGCTCTTTCAGAATCTGGAAGAAGTACAACGAACGAAAAAATCAACCAACAAAACAATAAAGAATATCGCAAACAAACACAGATAAACTAACAATTCCAAACGACGGTTTGCCAAACAGTAGCAACAGATACACTGCTTTCAGCAAGTGCAATCACCAGCCCTAATGCTATCACCTTAAATCAGCACAGCCATACCTCGTATATAAATGGCACGTCCACCGACCCATAATCATCCTACCCTTGCAGCACCATCAAGAACTGTACCGTTATAATACTATCCATCCTCATCATCACACCACCATTACAGTGCCATCATCATACCGCGTACAGGGGCCCATCGTTACAGTGCCATCCTTCCCCAAGAGTGCCATCCTCACATCTCGTTACGGTACCATCACCTTTACATCTCGTTACAATGCCATCGCCATACCTCATACAGGGGCTTGTCCACTGTTACAGTGCCATCCTCCACCCTCTCCCCTCTCAGCCGCTTGTTCTCCTCCAACTGGCCCATTGTGACACAAGGGGGGTGTGACAAAATCGGGGGTGCGGTGCAGAGTGGGGCCGTGGCACGCGGGGTGAGATAGAATGGGGATGTGACAAAAACGGGAGTGTGACAAGCTGGGGGGTGTGCAACAAAGGAGGGACAGATAGAATGAGGGAGCGAGAGAGGGAGGAGGTGCGGCGAAGGAGGGAGAGGGGGGGGAGGAGGGGGGGGGAGGGGAGGGGGGTGGGGGGGGAAGGGAGGGGGAAAGAGGAGAGTGGGGAGGGGGACGTGGGGAGGTGAAAAAAAAACGGAGGTGTGATCAAATCATACAGAATGGAGAGCATCATCGAGACTCCAAGGCATCAAGGAACGGAGAAGGCTTAAACTATCGATTGTCACCATCAGCTGGAGCGACTCATACGGTGTCTAGCTGACGGGTGGACCAAGAGCGGGTAGTGTCGTGTAAATCATATCAAGCATCGCTGTGCTTATAGCTCTTATAGCTCAAGATAAGCTTTACTAATTTACCAACCTGCGTTTCGGATATGAAATTCATCTTCTGAGCGGTAACGGCGAAGCAGTCGTACGGCTTCTAATAACAGGTGTTCGCGAAAGTAAACAGAGTCGTTGCAGAAGAACAAGCGAGGAATCTTTTCGAGCGAACGCAGCTTCTGCGTGGTGTTGTTGCCGGCGCCAAATGCGCCGCAGTGACTTTTAAGTTGACTCAAAAGTCAACTTGTTGGTGCAGGCGCCAAGTGCGCAGCAGTGCTTGAAACAAGAAACGCACTACATATGTTTCTACGCGCTTCGAAAATAGATGCCAGATGCGCTGGGTGACCGACGCGCTGGTGCCTAAAAAGTGCTGGCACCTAAAGCGCAGCAGGCGTCTCAAGCGAGAAACGCGGAGAGCCTGAATTGGCCAGCAGCGCGTGATGAGCTGCTAGCGTCACAACTGCTGGTCGAGAAACGCGCCGAGCGACTGGACGCGGGGATGCGCTGGTGTGTGTGACCTTGAGCGGAAAATGCGCTGACGGCAAGAAGTCCTGGTCACACTTGAGCGACGGAACTGAAGCCGCGTTTCGACATTAGGAAACTAGGAACCAGGCAACTAGATAGCTAGGCACATGACTAGGAAATAGCCGTGCTGAATCTTTTTATGTGCTGCGCCACTGCAAATACAAGCCTGTGCTTCAGTTGATCTCTGAAACAAAGCACATCTATATCTCCCTTTCACCTTATATGTACAGCATTGTAAGCATATCCAGGTCTTTGTGAGTTAGTATTGGGAGTGACAGATTAATGAGGAAACCAGGTATGGATATTATTTTAAAAAGAAACTATATTGGTAACTGGAAGCATTTAGGGGTATTTTCAAGATATAATCCATCCACTTCTACATGAAACTTTTATTTCAGAACAGAGCACGGTGTATAAAAGGAAGGGCATATTGCGTGTAACAGAGCAGGCAGAATTGATGAGTCTTTGTCTGTCGTTCTGCTTTGTTGATATTCTTGCACGTGCTTACCTTGGACTACGGAATTCAAACTGTATCTGATTGGCTCCAAACTGCTGACGTAATCTCGAATCTCCAAAAACCACGCCAGGATAAGCAGAACATGTTATGGGCAGCATCTCGTCCCGTCGTCGTCCAATAGAAGCCAATTCTGCTCAGAAGTTGACGCCGCAAACCACATAACCATTCGTCGCATGTGCTTCGTGAACACCACCCAGCAAGTCTAAACGCTTCGAGCGAAAGTCAACACATTCTTCTCGTCCACTGGTTACTGTTCTCACCTCGTGGATTCGCCAAGCTGCTAGTGATTCCACCGACACTCTGACGAAATCTGGCGACACATTCTTCTTTCGCAGCATCTCCTTCAGCCGCCATGAACTAATTACAGTTCCACAGTAGAATGCTGGGATAGCTCAAGCGACTTAGCTCCCTAGCTTCCCTAACTTTATAGCTTTGAATCGTCATTTGTCCAATGCAAGCACACGCTCGATAGCTTCCCGCATTTCCAAGCCTGACGAGTCTCTCCTTGTAACCAAGTCGTACTCAGGTCTCTGGTGAAGCCATCAAGGCTGAAAGCGAGTTAGCGCGTAACTGTCACACCAAAATGAGCCTAATCAACGGCCGAAACCGTGCTCTCGCGGGTTTGCGAAACCGTCTCCGAATCGACCCGCGAATCTTTTCCGTCTATAACCAGACCACCGTCCGTCCCGTCAACAATTATCTCTTTTCTTTGACAGATTCTGTTACTCATTTCTCCTCCGATGTTGCCACCAGCAATTTCATAAGTGGTGGATATGCCGAAGAAAACGTTCTAACTCGTTCGCTCAGAGCCGCTTACGCTGCCTCCGTCTCTGCCGTCGGTATTACCGGGTACCGCCGCAGTAACATTTCAAGTCAAACCTCGCGCTGCCAATTTTCCACTTTCGATGGCGCTAACTATGCTACGAGCCGCGTGAATGAGCAGTCTCGTGTGTCTCATATTAACGACCATTTCTACACCTACCATCAGCGCCGTCTCTATTATAATAGTAGACATAGTACGGAGTACTATAGTAGGCACCGCGACCGGCACCACGACCCGGAAGACCATTCCAATCATCCGCACCTCTACGCGCATTCCCCGCGCCCCTTGCACCGCGCGCCCGCGCTTCCGCGAAGCTTCCCCGCGTCCGCCTTCGACCATTTGTCCGCGCCCGCCGTGGTTTGCGGCGGGCGTAAAACGTCTTTCCGCGACCTCCTCGCGCACTCCGCCCGGCTCGCGCGCGAGTTCCGGAAGCGCTTGCCACGTGTCGACGCGGAGAAGCAGGGGCGCGCGGAAGCAGAGGCACGCGCGGAGCAGCAGCAGCAGGATGGGGAAGCGGCGGAGGCGGCGGAAGGCCCGCGGATTGCGATTTTTGGGCGGCCGGGGACGGACTATGTGGCGGCGATGTGGGCGGCGTGGGCGGCGGGCGGAGTGGCGGTTCCGCTGTGCGAAAGCTACCCTCCAGAGGAGCTACTATACGTCCTTAAAGACTCGGTAAGGACACACACTAAGGTGGTTGTTAGGCGTGCTGAGAGAACCACTCCCGCTCTCACTTGCAACCCTCCACCCTCCATGCAATGGCCACCTATCCATGCAATGGCCACCTATCCATGCAATGGCCACCTATCCATGCAATGGCCACCTATCCATGCAATGGCCACCTATCCATGCAATGGCCACCTATCCATGCAATGGCCACCTATCCATGCAATGGCCACCTATCCATGCAATGGCCACCTATCCATGCAATGGCCACCTATCCATGCAATGGCCACCTATCCATGCAATGGCCACCTATCCATGCAATGGCCACCTATCCATTCCTCCGCTCCGCCCCCCACTCCCACACCTCCCCCTCTCCAGCTTCCTTCCTCTCCCCCCTTCCCCCCCTCCGCCCGCCATCCCGCTCATCTCAGGGCGCTTGTTTGATTGTGGGGCCGGAGGCCTGCCGCCCAGTTTTGGCACCGCTGGCAGCGGAAGCGGCGGCGGCGTTTGTCCCATCTGACCCGCTGGAGGGCAAAGAATTGGAGGAGAGGGATGCGGATGAGGAGAAGGCGGGGATAGAAGCCTTGAAGAACGTTCCCTTCTCGCATGCAGGTGGGTGCTGTGGGGTGCTATGGGGTGCTGTGGGGTGTTGTGGGGTGCTGTGGGGTGCTGTGGGGTGCTGAGGGGTGCCGTGGGGTGCTGTGGGGTGCTGTGAGCATTCCGCATTTGCATCCGCATGCAGGTGGGTGCTGTGGGGTGCTGTGGGGTGCTGTGGTGTGCTGTGGGGTGCTGAGGGGTGCCGTGGGGTGCTGTGGGGTGTTGTGGGGTGCCGTGGGGTGCTGTGGGGTGCTGTGAGCATTCCGCATTTGCATCATACGTGCTCGCATCTGACCCGCTGGAGGGTAAAAAATTGGAGGAGAGGAATGCGGATGAGGAGAAGGCGGGCATCGAAGCCTTGAAGAACGTGCCCTTCTCGCATGCAGGTGGGTGCTGTGGGGTGCTGTGGGGTGCTGTGGATTGAAGTCTTGAAGAACGTACCCTTCTTACATGCAGGTGGGGTGAGGTATGATTCTGTGGGGTGCCGAGGGGTGCTGTGTGGTGCTGTGTTAGGTGGGGGGATGAGATGGGTAGGGCTGTGGGCTTGTGTGTTAGAAAGAACGTGCCTTTCTCGCATAAGAGAGGCTATTGACCCACCCCCTCTTCCCCCTCTCCTCTCCCCCCTCTTCCCTCCCTCTCCCCCATCTTTTCTCCCTCTTTCCCCCTCGCTTTTCTCTCAACCATCTTTACACAATCCCCCACTCCTCTCCCTAATCCCTCCTCTCATCCCCGTTATCAGCTGCCCTGATAGTGTACACGAGTGGCACCACGGGTCGACCCAAGGGAGTGGTGCACTCACATATAGGCCTCGCCTCCCAAGTAAGCCCAGAGCAAGTCCTCTGCTCACACGGTAAGTGCTCTGAGAAACCTTTTGAGGTGTCACGAAAATCGTTTTTGTAGGTAAAAGAGCAAGTCCTCTGTCCACATGGTAAGCGCTTCAAGCGCTTGAGATGCCTTGCAAGGAAAATCTTTCTGAAATTCATCATCTCTGTTTTCACCTGAAGCAATTCACCTGATAGTTCTCCGATACCAGAAATTCTCAAGGCAAACGAAGGAAAACCATTCTAAATGCGCGTGGGACTTCCTTTTCTGCACCATATCTGCTGAACTTAATGCTACCGGCTGTCCATTCCCCCCTCTTGTCGCCTTCTTCCCCCCCCCTTTTCCTCCGCAGGCCGGCATGCTGGTGGACGCGTGGGACTTCTCCCCCTCGGACCGAGTGCTCAACGTGTTGCCGCTGCACCATATCCGCCCACACGCACCTTTCCATCCCCTCTTTCTCCTGCCGCACCGCCTCCATTGCCCTTGCACTTTCTCCACCTGTCTCATACTCCTCTATCCCTTCTCTACTTGTGTTGCCGCTGCACCATATCCGCCCACGCGCACCTTTCCATCCCCTCTTTCTCCTGCCACGCACCGCCTCCATTGCCCTTGCCCTTTCTCCACCTGTCTCATACTCCTCTATCCCTTCTCTACTTGTGCTGCCTCTGCACCATATCCGCCCACGTGCACCTTTCCATCCCCTCTTTCTCCTGCCACGCACCGCCTCCCTTGCCCTTGCCCTTTCTCCACCTGTCTCATACTCCTCTATCCCTTCTCTACTTGTGCTGCCGCTGCACCATATCCACCCATCCACACTTCCCCCTGCTTCTCTCTCCCTGCCACGCACCACCTCCCTTGCCCTTTCCCTTACACCTCACAACAAGGTTGCCTTTCTGTATGGCACATGTGAATGAACTCCAATTCTTAATCTTGAAGGTTTTCTCTCCTTGTTCTGGGTTGCCTTGTAAGGAGGTTTGCCTTTATTGAACTGCATGCATTGCAGCATTGTTTTTCCTTAACGGTCATCCCCCACCCCCTCCCTCTCCTCTCCTCTACCCCCTCCCCCTTCCCTCTTCCTGCACACTTGCCAATATCCACTCTCATTTCTGCCACTCTCTCTTCTCTTCTCCCTCATCCCCCTTCCACGCGTTTATTCTTCCTTCCCCCCCCTTCTTCTTCTTCCTCCACTCTCTCTATTTCCTCACTTTCCTCCATGCGTACGTTGAAACGTTTAAATAACCCTGCTGCCCCTCCTTGTGTTCTGGCGGCTGTCACCCCGAGCACATGTGCATGGCATCATGAACGCTCTGCTGAGCCCTCTCTCTGCTGGTGCCACGGTGAGAGTGTGTGTGTGTGTGCAAGCACATGTGCTTGCATAGTCATGCATCCTTGGCCACTCATAGCCCATGTCATCTCAACCACAAGGGCATGGCATCATGAATGCTTTGTTGAGCCCTCTCTCTGCTGGCGCCAAGGTAAGCGTTCACACATCCATGTATTTACGCTGCTGGCACTGCTCCGCTTCTCTGCTGCCGCCGCCGCCTCCGCCGCCGCCGCCGCTGCTGCTGCTGCTGCTGCTGCTGCTGCTGCTGCTGCTGCGCTGGTGTGTTGTGTTCTGGTGGGGGTCACCCCGAGCACACATGCACAGCATCATACTATTACCACCTGCCTCTACCCCCCATTCTGAGGATTCTCCAAACATGCATGCATCATGGCACCCCCCTCTTACCCCCCTTCCCTCCCCTTGCTCGCTCCCATTCCCACACATGTTGAGTGCCTCCCCAGCCACTGCGTCAGCGCAGCAGCAGTGTGGCAGCGGTGGCGGGAGAGCTAACCTGCCGTGAGAGTGACACCTCTCCCTAGCAGCCCAAAAACACCCCTTGTATCTCACCCCTTGCTCCCATCCCACACAGGTCCAGTCTCTCCCCAGCCATCGCTTCAGCGCAGCAGCCGTGTGGCAGCGGTGGCGGGAGAGAGGGAGGGGTGCATGCGTTGTTGCATTACTGCTCTACACTCCACCCCCTTGCGCATCCCTTCAGGCCCCCTTGCTCCTTTTCCCACACAGGTCGAGTTCCTCCCAAGCCACCGCTTCAGCGCAGCAGCCGTGTGGCAGCGGTGGAGAGAAAGCTACCCCGACGGGAGTGCTGTTGTCATAACACGACCACCCTCTCTGCCTCTCCCTCTTTCTCGCCCCGTGCTCCCATCCTTTTCTGGTAGAGTTCCCCCCATCCCCTTGCCCCGCAAAAGTTCCTCCCAAGCCATCGCTTGGGAAACAAAAAAGGTGAACAAAGCAATGATCACAACAACAAAATTTAGAGCTACGAGCACTGAGAGATTCGAACTCTCGCGGGCAGAGCCCATGTACTTAGCAGGCACACGCCTTAACCACTCGGCCAAATGCTCTTATATGCTACAGCTAGCGCTTTTTACCAATCAGAGCGATGGAGAGAGAGAGCAATTCTGGGGGGTAGTGTATGCTCTTACACACCACCTCCCTCTACCCCCCCTCCTTTTCCCCTCAGGTCGAGCTCCTCCCAAGCCACCGCTTCAGCGCAGCACCCATGTGGCAGCGGTGGAGGGAGAGAGGGGTGCATGTGTCACTGCATCACTGCTCTCCACCGCTTCACACCCTTGCTCCCTTCCCTCCCAGGCCGAGTTTCTCCCCAGCCACCGCTTCAGCGCAGCAGCCGTGTGGCAGCGGTGGCGAGAGAGCTACCCCGACGGGAGGTGCGCTGCGCGCAGCCAGACTCCATCACATTCTTCACCGGGGTGCCAACCAAGCCAAGCCACTACGTGCGGCTGCTGCAGGAGTGCATGCCACTTTCTCGCCCCTTCCTCCCGTCCCTCCCAGGTCGAGCTCCTCCCCAACCATCGCTTCAGTGCAGCGGCTGTGTGGCAGCGCTGGCGAGAAAGGAGAGCTACCCCGACGGGAGTACATGTCACCTCACCATCTCTCCCTACTGGCATGTCATTACATCACCCCTCCTTACCCCCGTGCAAACCCCTCCTCTCTCCCTTTCTCCTAGGTCGAGTTCCTCCCCAACCATCGCTTCAGCGCAGCAGCAGTGTGGCAGCGCTGGCGGGAGAGAGGGGCGCATGTGCCGTTGCATCACCGCTCTCCACCCCCTTGCACACCCCTTCACGCCCCTTTCTCCCATCACTTTCAGGTCGAGTTCCTCCCCAACCACCGCTTCAGCGCAGCAGCCGTGTGGCAGCGGTGGCGAGAAAGCTACCCCGATGGTCGCTGCACCATCACGTAACCTTTTCACTGCACCCTCCCTCACCTCACTCTCCTCTCGCAGGTCGAGTTTTTCCCCAGCCACCACTTCAGCACAGCAGCCGTGTGGCAGCGGTGGAGAGAGAGCTACCCCGATGGGAGCACATGCCACCTCGCCACCTCTTCCCACCTCTTCCCACCTCTTCCCACTGGCTCTAACCCCTTCTATCGCGCCCCATGCCCCCGTCACAGGTCGAATTCCTCCCCAACCATCGCTTCAGCGCAGCAGCCGTGTGGCAGCGGTGGCGAGAAAGCTACCCCGACGGCCGGTGCGCCCAGCCCGACTCCATCACCTTCTTCACCGGGGTACCAACCCACTACATGCGCCTGCTACAGGAGTGCATGTCATCAGCACTCCCCCGAGCCCTTCTTTCACACCCATTGCTCCCATCCCTTTCAGGTCGAGTTCTTCCCCAGCCATCGCTTCAGCGCAGCAGCCGTGTGGCAACGATGGCGAGAAAGCTACCCCGATGGTCGCTGTGCCCAGCCTGACTCAATCACCTTCTTCACCGGGGTACCAACCCACTACATGCGCCTGCTACAGGAGTTTGACCGCATGCCCCTGCAGCTGCAGAGAAAATCTGCTCTGGCCGCCAGCAAGCTGCGACTCATGGTGAGTCGGGGACTTGAATGTGTTGGGAGCGGTGGAGGGAAAGCTACCCTGACAGTTGCTGCGCCCAGCCCGACTCAATCACCTTCTTCACCGGGGTACCAACCCACTACATGCGCCTGCTACAAGAGTTTGACCACACGCCACATCATTCTCCTCTCCTCCCGTGTTTCACTCACCCATAGAATACCTTCCTGCCTTTTGAGAATTCTCAAACTCACCCATAGAATACCTTCCTGCCTTTTGAGAATTCTCAAACTCACCCATAGAATACCTTCCTGCCTTTTGAGAATTCTCAAACTCACCCATAGAATACCTTCCTGCCTTTTGAGAATTCTCAAACTCACCCATAGAATACCTTCCTGCCTTTTGAGAATTCTCAAACTCACCCATAGAATATCTTCCTGCCTTTTGAGAATTCTCAAACTCACCCATAGAATACCTTGCTGCCTGCACCACTGATACCCCTACCTGCCCTCATCATCAGATGAGCGGCTTTGCTTCATGCCCGAACGAGCTCATGCAGCGATGACGGAGCCAGTTGATAAAATGTGGTTTTTGGGACGTCTCAAAAGCTCATGCGGCGATGACGGCGCCAGGTCTCTCGAAAGGCATTGCTCTCCTCCCGTGTGGCATTGAGGTCGTTTTTGAGGCGCCTCAAAAACGACCTCTCTCGAAAGGCATCGCTCTCCTCCCGGGTGGCAATCAACTGTGATACCCCTGCGTGCCTGCACCCCTGCGTGCCTGCACCCCTGCGTGCCTGCACCCCTGCATGCCTGCACCCTTGATGCCCTTACTTTTCTTCGCCATCAGATGTCTGGCTCTGCTGCGTGCCCTGATGAGCTCATGCAGTGATGGCACCAGGTCACTGATAGCGCATCGCTCCCCTCTCCTCCCCTATGTCACTCACCCGTGATGCCCCTGTCTGCCCTCACTATCCTCAGATGAGCGGCTTTGCTTCATGCCCGGACGAGCTCATGCAGCGATGACGGAGCCAGTTGATAAAATGTGGTTTTTGGGACGTCTCAAAAGCTTGTGCGGCGATGACACCAAGTCACGGGGTAGCAAAGGCCGCAGCAGCAACACTGCAACACAGCTTCCCTTCCCCCTTCCTCCCGTACCATCAGATGAGCGGCTCTGCCGCGTGCCCCGACGAGCTCATGCGGCGATGGCACCAGGTCACGGGGCAGAGGCTGCTGGAGCGATATGGGATGACCGAGGTGAGGGGGCGAGGTGAGGGGTGAAAGAGATATGGGATGACAGAGGTGAGTCAGTTGGGGAGGGCTGTGAGGCGAGGTGGAGAGCATGCCTCCAATACCTCTTTATGTCGTTCTCTCTTTTTGTTTCTTTTCCCCGCTCCCACCCTTCCCTCGTCTCCTTGTTGCTCCTCCTCCTCCCGTCACTACAGTTCGCAATGGCACTCACCAATTCCCTGCTGGGAGCGAGTATGCATGCCCTTACCTTCCACTCTTGCTCCCCTCCTCTCCTCTCCTCGCTTCCCCTCACCTCCCATTGCTTCCCAACCTATCTCTCCAGTTCGCCATGGCCCTAACCAATCCTCTGCTGGGAGAGAAGAAGTCAGGATCGGTGGGCATGCTGATGGGAATAAGTCTCTCACCATCCCTCTGTCACCTCCGCCCCTCCTCCCATCTCTGCAGTTCGCCATGGCCCTAACCAATCCTCTGCTGGGAGAGAAGAAGTCAGGATCAGTGGGCATGCTGATGGGAATAAGTCTCTCACCATCCCTCTGCCACCTCCGCCCCTCCTCCCATCTCTCCAGTTCGCAATGGCCCTCACCAATCCGTTGCTGGGAGAGAAGAAATCAGGCTCAGTGGGCGTGCCACTCAGAGGGGTTAAGGTGAGCATATAAAGTTGGTCTGACAGCGATAAATGTGGTCAACTGTGGTCAACGTTTGTCAGCTGTGGTCAAACGTGGTCAAATGTGGTCAAATGTGGTGAGCCTTGGCCAATTGCAGTCAACAAAACGCCCTCCGTACCTCTCTTCATGTGAAAGTAGAGAGAGACAGCAGCCGTGTGTTGACACGTCTCTTTGCCTTTTGAGGCGCCTCAAAAGTCGCCTCCGTACCTCCCTTCATGTGAAAGTAGAAGGCACAGCAATCATGTGTTGAAACGTCTCTTTGCCCTTCCCTTCTGCTTATCAGGTGAAACTAGCAGACACTGCGAAGGATCGGCACAGCAGCAGCAGCAGCAGCAGCAGCAGCAGCACTGGCACTGCACGAGCCATGCTGGGTCACTTGTCTGCTCCCGGGGCATTCAGCAGCAGCGGCAGCACTGGCAGCAGCAGTGGTGGTCGCAGCAGTGTTGTCAGCAGCAGTGGCAGCAGCAGCAATGGTGGCACGTGGAGCGGGGGGTGGGGAGAGCTACTGGTGAAAAGCCCTGGCATGTTCCTGCGATACTGGAACCGACCTCAGGTGGGTTGAGTTGAGTGCATGGTGTGTGTATAGTGGTGTGTTGAGTTGAGTAGCCGTGCCAGCAACAGCAGTGCTGGCAACAGCAGCACATGCAGTGGGGGTTGGGGAGAGCTGCTGGTGAAGACTCCTGGCATGTTTCTGCGATACTGGAACCGTCTCCAGGTGCGACGAGTGCATGCAGTGTTGTTAGAAGAGACCCAATATGTGTTGTTGATTGCACATGGAAGGCAGTTCCAGCGCGTGGGCTGGGGGGTGGGGAGAGCTGCTGGTGAAGAGCCCTGGCATGGTCCTGCGATACTGGAACCGACCCCAGGTGGGCTGAGCTGAATGCATGGTGTGTGTTCTTGTAATGGTGGCATGAGTAAGGAAGGAGCAGCACCAGTCCCAGCAGCAGCAGCAGCAGTGGGATGTGGAGTGGGGGGTGGGGAGAGCTACTGGTGAAGAGCCCTGGCATGGTCCTGCGATACTGGAACCGACCCAAGGTGTGTTGAGTGCATGGTGTGAGTGGTGAGTGCATTATCACTCATTTCCTCTCATTCCATCTCATTACCGCTCATCGCCTCTCATTCCCTCTCATTGCCTCTCATTCCCTCCCATTCCCTCCCATTCCCTCTCATTGCCTCTCATTGCCTCTCATTCCCTCCCATTCCCTCTCACTGCCCCCACCCTCCCAGGAAACAACAGAGGCGTTCGATCCACAGGGGTGGTTCCGCATGGGTGCTTTTTCCCCCCCCTTTCCGTCACCCTTCTTGCTCCCATTCCCGCTCATTCCCGCTCATTACCTCTCAACGCCTTCCATTACCTCTCAACGCCTGTCATTGCTCAGGAGACAGCAGAGGCGTTTGACCCACAGGGGTGGTTCCGCATTGGTGCCCGCCCCCTCACCTTTCCTTCGCCCTTCTCGCTCCCATTCCTGAGCATTGCCTCTCATTACCTCTCATTACCTCTCATTACCTCTCATTACCTCTCAACGCCTGTCATTGCTCAGGAGACAGCAGAGGCGTTTGACCCACAGGGGTGGTTCCGGACGGGCGATATTGCATCGGTGGACAGCCATGGGTACTGGCAGATCCACGGCAGTGAGTGTTGTTTCACCATGTGTGCCGTACTTATATGTGCAGTACATATGTGTCGGTGTGTCATTTACGTGTCTGGGCCTGTGATATTGCACCAGTGGACAGCCATGGGTACTGGCATATCCATGGGAGTGGGTAGTCGCATGGGAAGAATGTATGTTGCGTACGCAATGTGTGCGTGGGTGCATGAGCGTGTGAGTGCGTGGGTGAATGTATATTGCATCGGTGCACAGCAATGGGTTTTGGCAGAGCATGGGAGTGAGTACTGTTGTCTAGCATGTTTGTAGCGTGCACGTGTGTATTATTTATGTGCATGGTATGCTCGTGTGACACGTGTCGATTATGTGTGTGCATGTGTGCATGTGTGCATGCACTTTCTCTCTCAATGGAGCACGTGGTGGTCGATGCAACGTTTGAGTCGACTCAATATATAAGTCACCACCACCTATGCGGAACCTCGTTCTGATCTGATTATTTTCACACTCACCACCTCTCTGGTGGATGCATTATTTCCTTATCTCACTCCGTTCCCCATCCCCCCTCCCCCACACTCCCCTCTCTCAGGGGCGAGTGTGGACATAATCAAAACGAGGGGCTTCAAAGTTTCTGCGCTGGAGATTGAGTCAAAGCTGCTGGAGGTGAGAGATGTGGGGAAGGGTGATGAGCGGTGATGGGAGGTGATGAACGGTGATGGGAGGTGATGAGCGGCGAAGATGCTTTCCAATGGGTGGTGATGAGGGATGATGATTGGTGATGAGGGGTGATGGGGCGAGTGTGGACATAATTCAAGACGAGCGGCAAGATTTTCACGGGCAAGGCAAGACGAGCAGCACGAGCGGCAAGATTTTCAGCATAAGCAGTGATGAGCGGTGATGAGCGGTGATGGGTGGGTTTTGCACTTGAGATAGAATCGAACCTGCTGGAGGTGAGAAGTGGGGAAGGGGGATGGGGAAGGGGGATGGGAAAGGGTGATGAGCGGTAAGGAGTGGTGATGGGCTGTGATTAGCAGTGGCATGGAATCCCCTTTATTGATTGTTTTTTCCTCTTTCTCTCCGCCCTGCCCTTCCCCTCCTCCCCCTCCCAGCATCCTCTCATATCCTAGGCAGCAGTGTTGGGAGTGCAGGAAAGGCAGCAGGGAGAGGCAGTGGCGGCAGTGGTGGTGCTGGGAGCAGCACAGCAGCAGAATCACCATCTGTCAATCACCCTATCTCCCCTTTTCCCCTCCCAGCATCCTCTCATATCCGAGGCAGCAGTGTTGGGAGTACCGGAGAGGCAGCAGGGAGAGGCAGTGGCGGCAGTGGTGGTGCTGGGAGCAGCACAGCAGCAGCACCAGCAGCAGGGCGTTACTGGGGAAAGTGTTGCTTACACCTGCGAAAATGCATGCCCTGTGATCACTCTGGACGAGCTGAGGAAATGGGCAGCCCCCCGCATGGCTCACTATAAGGTGCGCTGCTGGTGTGTGCTGCTGCTGTGTGCTGCTGTCATGCCATGCTCACTAGACCCTGGCAGTAGGGAGGCAGCGCCTGGCAAGGATGCTGCCATCACTCAGGACGCACCCATTTTCCCTGTTTCCCCCCCTAATTGACCAGGTGCCATCTCGCCTGAGGGTGGTTGTCACCATGCCACACCATGCCAGGCCATTCCATGCATCTCCCCTGCTTTCCCCCCTAACCGACCAGGTGCCATCTCGCCTGAGAGTCGTTGCCACCATGCCTTGCAACGCCATGGGGAAGGTGAGACGGCAAGAGGAGCATGACACGCATTCTGAACCACCATCACATGCACCATCCACCACTCGCTATGCACCTTCTGCATGTCACACAATGCCATGCACAAGGTGAGACAACAATAGGAGCATGCCATGCAGCATGCCATGCAACATCATGGCATCGCCACCACCCATCTCTTCGCATTGCATATTCATCTGTCATTTTCAGGCATGGCAGGTGAACAAGAAGGGATCTCCTGAAGAACCTTTTTGCCCCCATGCAGCAGTCATGACTCCCCTGACTTGCCTATGTACATTAGTCCAGCATCGCATCACAAAAATCTGTCTCCTCACATTGCATATCCATCCCTCATCCCCCTCGTCTCTGGCGTGGCTGGATGGCAGGTGAACAAGAAGGATCTCCTGAAGAACCTTTTTGCCCCCATGCAGCAGTCATGACTCCTCACAATTCCTCATTGCATACAAAGAATTTTTTGCTTACATTTTTTTGTTTTGTGCCTCACATCTCTAAACTCTGTCTTGTCTCCATTGAATGGCCTTGTAAAGTAGGCAATACCGGTAGCTTGTACCAAGATACAGATGTTACGAAATGGACTGTGAAGTGCACTGTTGCGCATTTTCAACCAAAGCCTCCACAATACCAGTATGGTAAGTTGTGCTACGGACGGACATTCAAATGCATAATCAGATTTCTCTGACAAAAAACAACTGTACCATACAGTCACATATTATACACAGCAGCACTCGGCAGGTTTTCGCAGCATCAGCAGTGGCAACGCCAGCAGTCATGGTGAGAAAGAGTCCGCCTAGTAACCACTGGTTCAGTCAACCAACCCCTCTTGACGTCTCAACTCAAAAGGTCCCAACCGCAGCAGCAGCATTGCCAGCAGCCGTGGTGAGAGAGAGTCTGCCTCGAAACCACTGGTTGAGCCGACCAACCCCCCCTGACACGCTCCTCCCGAGTCCCATACCATGCCATGCTTCAATGCGGCGCCCCAACTGCTAGTGCTACAGAAGCAGTCAGCAGGTTTCAGCAGCAGCCATAGTCCCCCCTGACACGCTCCTCCTGAGTCCCATACCATGCTTCAGCGCTGCAGGAGGTAACACTCAGCAGGTCTCGGCAGCAGCAGCAGCAGCATTCCCAGTAGCACAGGCGAGGGCGCGTCCACCCAGGAACCACTGGTTGAGCCGACCAACCCCCCCTGACACGCTCCTCATGAATCCCATACCATGCTTCTGTGGTGCTGAGCCCTTCCCACCTGCTACTGAAGCATTCCCAGAGGCGTCAGAAGCAGCAGCAGCAGAAGCAGAAGCAGAAGCAGCAGCAGCAGAAGCAGAAGCAGAAGCAGAAGCAGCAGCAGCAGCAGAAGCGGCAGCACCAATAGTGGCGCACTCGCCGGCACCAGTGGTAGATGTGTGGCTACTGGCAGGAGTGACCTGAGTGGAGCAACTGCCACTTTTGGCAGCCTTTCCATTTTTGGCACATTTTCCATTTTGGGCACATGTGGCAGCAGCAGGAGCAGCGGCACTGGAACCATAGAGGGAAGGCGGAAGGTCAGTGTCGGAGTGCTGTTTCTTGAGGAACCGAGGTTGGGACTGCTGTGGTTGTGCAGTAAACGAGGCTGCTTGTACAGTGAACGGTGGTGCAGATTCCGACGATTCTGCAGATAGTGCAGATACTGTAGAAAGTGTGCGTACTGTAGATGTTGCGGATACTGTACTTGGCGTGCATACTGTAGATATTGTAGATGCCAGGGTGTCTAGGGATGCTCTGCGAGGGTTGGAGGAGTAGCAGAGAACCGCCATCTGCAAGGTGAAGAGGGATACAGAGGAGTTCCATTCAATTTGTATGTGCCTCATACATAAACAGGGAAAATAAATGCAGCAGCCTCAGAGAGAAAGAAAAATTTGTATGCACTTTACACGGATGAGTCCTCACCTCGACACTCAAGGCGCTGTCTTCTTCCCACGTGGAATCCTCTATGGCTGTAGCAGCATCTGCTACATCCGAGCGCGTCTGTCGCAGCCTTAGAGGGGAGCAGGCCTGCTGTTGCTGCAGCCAGATGGCATCCTCGTCCACCCGAAGGCTGTAGCGGCCACGGCTACAGCCGTTGGTGTCACTCCCGCAGTCTAGGCTGTAGCGGCCACTGCTATGACCCTCTGTTACAACGCTGCTGTAGCTGCTGCCGCTAATTCGCCCATGGTTTCTCCAACTGGTATTGTTGCTCCAGCTGCCACTGCTGCTGCAGCTGCAATGATAGTCGCCCCAGGGGCTGTAGCTGCTGCTGCCGTCCCATCCTTGGTTCATTCCATTGGTATTGCCGCCGTTGCCAGTGCTACAGTCGCCCCAGTGGCTGTAGCTGCTGCTGTCACGTCCTTGGTTCCTCCCACTGGTGCCAGTGCACGTGCTGCTGCCGCCAACACCACCACTGCTACAGTCGCCCCAGGGGCTGTAGCTGGTGCTGTCGTTGTAACTCCTGCTTGCACCAGCGCTGCTGATGGCACCGATTGCCATGCTGCTGTGGCTGCGACGGAGCGTGGCTGTAGGCGGCATCCGAGTCAATTTCTGAGGCGCAAGTATACTCCTCCAGTCTGAAGCAGCAGCACCACCAGCAGCAGCAGCAGCAGCAGCAGCAGCAGCAGCAGGAGTAGCAGCAGGAGTAGCAGCAACACCGGCAGCAGCACCGGTAGCAGCAGTAGCGCCTACCATGGTGCAACTGTGGCTGCGTTGGAGCATGGCTTGAGGCGCTACTTCCATTATCCGGCGAGTCCAATCCGAGGCTCGGTTCGCGGAAGGTTCGAAACCCGCAGTTTCCTTCTTCTGAGACTGCTCCGATTCAAGAACCCGCTCAGTACCCACGTCAGCACGTGACGTGTAGGATTCCGTGTCAGAGTCGAGCCAAGCCGCGACCGGGTCAGCCGTTGGCGAGTCACCACCGTCGCCCGCGGCGAGAGCTCCGACTTCGCAGCCTCTTGCGGCGCGACGTGGCAGTTCGGCGGATGATGGCACCAACGCCGAGCCGCCGCGCAGCCGCGGTTTGAAGTCGTTGACTTGAGTTGACTCGGCGGAGATCGTGTCGTCGCCGCTGGCCTGCCAGCTCAGTGCGGCGGCATGGAGCGTCCAGCTGGCATCACGGGAACCATCCAGCGGCGAATCAGGCGAAGCATCGGAACCGTCCGCGACGCGACGGCGATCAATCGAAAAAAGCAAACCGTTGTCGCGATCGTGGCTTCGAAGCGCCTCGGAGGAAAAGTACGGTTCTTGAGGCGCCTCGCTGGAAGCATCACCCGGGGCGCCGGCGGCGGCGGCAATAAGGTAGTAGGTCTTAGCCGGATCGAGAATCGAATCGGAGGATACGGTGGAGAGCGGCGTAAAGGGCCGCGCCGCCGGGTCTGACGCCGCGGAATGCGGTGGATTGGTGGAGAGGAGATGGTGGGGGAAGTCTGCGAGGACGCGGCGCGCGGAAATTCCGGCGAAAATGTCAGCATTGGGGCTCGAATCGCAGCCGGATGGAGTTCCGTCGGGGAGAAATAGACGGAGGGAACCGTCGGGCAGGACGACGATGACGGAACAGTTTCCGTCCATGATGGGCGATCGCGGACGTCGAGGCGGTAATCAAGGGTGTCAAACAGAGCCAAAGGGAGTCCTCTCAAAATTGAAAGGAAAAGCAAGGGGTCGGGGTTACGCAGAACGTCGGACGTTCGAAACGATGACCAGAAGATGCCCACGATTCGGCGGATGTTTGTTTTGGGAAGTAGGACAGAAAAGAAGCTCTCTATTTAGCAACAGCCGCAGTGAGGAAGGTGTCAATAAGCACGGACCGAGATGATGAGGGTGTGGTGTGGAGCGGCGCAAGAGATGTCAGCTTCTAAATGGGCGAATCAAGTGGCATGATGAAGATCAGGTGCGAGGACTACGAATCGGGTGTAATTTGGAGCCGACGTTTCGAAACCCCCCTCGTGTGAGCCAGGTCTCGGGACCATCGACGAATCGTAGCAGTAAGGACGGACGGACACCCTAAAACGCGGCGGGCGCGGTGCGGCATCTGCGGAAGGACGGCGACTCACAGCACATTAATTCACAACATCCAAGGACGGACGCTACTACTGTATTCAACATGCGCACGGAGGGCTGGGTGGGATCGAGTGCAGTGCAGGTCACGCAAGGAAGTCTTCAAGGGACGGTTTGAACTGAGCTACCGCCATTGTGCGCTTTTGTATGGAGTGCAGTGGACACCAGAGTGACTTACTTGCCACACAGACTTGAATGCACGGGGAATGAAAGAGCTTTGGCAGACAGCTTGCATTGATGGCGGCAGTGGAGATTGGAAAACGGAGGGTTCAGGATGTCGGTCGACGGGACGACAGTGATTTCGGACTTGACATAGGAGTTTCTGTTCTCAACATTAGTCGTGTCGTGATGTACCTTCATGGGTTGTTGTGTGGTGAAGGGATGATGGGATCATAGAAGAAAGGACGGAAGAGGAGAGAGGGAGGGAGTCTTCACTTCATTCCATGGCATGAACTGTTGGCATTGCTACGTGCATTACTGGGCACTGGGCAGTCCTCCGATTACTGTACAATATCAGCCAAGTGTGAATTTACGAGGCGCTTCCGAATTTGGCACCAATTGCGACGCGTGCGAGATGTGGATGGTTGATCCAGCTGACGCACAGGTCGTGCGATCTGACGCGCTGACCCTTCAAAAAAGCGTCCTACGAAACGATTGGAGTAAAAAGCATTCAGTCACTGAAGAAAGCACAGGCGTTTGCTCCTATTCGTGTAGTAATTGTGTGGAGAAACCGGAATGTGAGAAACCGAAAGTCAATCGATTTGTTTGTAGCGTCGGTGCGCTTATGATGAACAAAATATGAACAGTTCTAGGTTGATTTGACATCGGAGCGCGGAAGATTTGGCATCGAGCCGCGCAATCCAATGCGTCAGTGCGCTGGAAGTTTCATAATTTGAGGCACATTTTGTGAGAGAATTACCGCGGCACGGGGTTGGGCATCTGGAATTTTTCTTATAGCGTGCCAATCTTGTTATACCCCATTGCGACGCAAATCCACCTTTTGTCCCGCGCTTCCTGCGGTGCCATCATTTCGTATTGAAAAACGAAGTGTAGCTATCGGTGTAAGGTCACTTCGAAAATGTTTGCCAGGATTACACATGGTCGCCTCCAATATTGTTGGAACCAGACCACAAATTTCGAGGGAGTCCAAACCTACGTGGATAGGTTTGGCTCGATTCCCCCAACTTCCCAGCCATGAGCATGTGTTCGTTTTGACATGTGTTCGCCAGCTGGTTCATCCTGGATGCCCCATGAATTGCTGACGCGGATTGATAAAGAACCGTTCGAAACACTATACACGTCAGACTGAGCACCATCCAAGCCACTACAGACACTGCCAATCGAACAACTCGATGTTTAAAAGCAA